GATCTGTTCTGTCAATTTTGATTCAAAAAATTGAAACAAACCTCCAAGATGGTTTGGATGTTACATCCAACTGCAATCCACACATTCACTTCTCAGTTTAATCGCTCTCTTGCTTCAGCCATCCCTTTGCTATACAGATGCTTAAAGCCTGTGATGGCGTATAGTAGGAATATTATAAGTATTATTTTCTTTTCTCTCTTCATTTTACCTTTCCTTCCTCTACCAATTCCTCAGATTACAATAGATTTTCTAACCTGGTGGTAATTTTGTAATTCTTGTTTTGAGGTTTTGAGTTAATTGTATTTTCATGAATCCTGAGGATTGACTTAGACTTTTTCTCCCTCTTTTTATAGACCTCGCTAATGTCAAATTGACTTGAAAACATGATTTATTCACTTTATTTCAGAGTCCTCCTCAAGAGTAAGTGCAGATTATAAAGCAGTATGTTCAGGCCAGGCGCGGTGGCTCATGCCTGTAATCCCAGCACTTTCAGAGGCCGAGGTGGGCAGATCACCTGAGATTAGGAGTTCAAGAGCAGCCTGGCCAACATGGAGAAACCCTGTCTCTACTAAAAATACAGAAATTAGCTAGGTGCAGTGGTGGGCACCTGTAATCCCAGCTACTTGGGAGGCTGAGGCAGGAGAATCACTTGAACCTGGGAGTCGGAGGTTGCAGTGAGCCGAAATCGCACCACTGCACTCCAGTCTGGGTGACAGAGCGAGACTCTGTCTAAAAAAAAGAAAAAGCCCAGTTTGTTCAGTACGATTCCATTTTTTACCTACACTGCCCCCTGCCCCAGCAAATCCACATGTGTAGAGAAACACTCAGGAGGATATGTTCCACACTCGAATCCATACCCTACATGGAACTCTTAGTGAACCTGTTTCTTCTTTTTGTTCATTTATAGCTTTCTAAGTTTTCCTACAATAAGCATCTATTGCTTGTGGAATTGAAAATGAAAAAAAAAAATGCTTGGAAAAGTTATTCTCCAGCTCCCTGTGAAATCAGTGCAAAATTCAGCACGCGCCCCCTGGTGTTGTTAATGGTAACAAGAGTTGTATTGGAAATGGCACTTATTTTTGGAAGACACGGGGACAACTGAGTCACCCATAGTATTTTAGGGAAAAGAATGAAACAAGAAACCCCAAATGAACAGGTGAAGATTTACAAGGCAGATTTCTGTCTCGTACTGAACGTTTTTTGGGTCAAGATTATATGCATGTGCATGAGCTCAGATGGAACTGTCCTGAGCTGCGGAGGGGCTGAATTTAGCAGTGAGCTCAGGCTCAGGTCACTTAGAGTCATCCAGCAGAAAATGGCTGGTGTATCCTGGGACTTTGTATGCTTAAGAGCTGTCCGGTAAGCACAGAGCATTCCTAGAGCACACTGGGCTCGCCTGTCCCCGCAGTGGTTCAACCCACAGACAGGCTTGTGCTCAGTCAAAACATGTCAGTCATTGAAAGTGTATTCTCACTGGTTGGTGTCCTTTTAGAAACCAAATTCAGCTTTCTTCAGGGAAATAATTGGTGCTGATTGGTATACCTCTTTTTTTTCATCCTGTGCACAGTAAGATGCTGCTATGAGGCGGTGTCTGTTCATGCCAGCCCTGCTGGTGAGAATGGTGGAGAGGGAAGGAGGTGGATGCGTGCAGCTGTTCAACCCTAAGTGCACAGCTTCATCCACAATGTGTTCAGCACCAAGCTTGCATGATTTAGAAGAAAGATGACAGGCTTGGGAGATAGACACATGAGATTCTCAATCCGATTTCAATCATGCATTATGTACAATACCTTACATGTCTGGATAAGTTATTTAATCTCACAGAGCCTCAGCTCCCTCATCTCTAAAATGGGCACAAAGCAGACTTCCTCTTAGATTGCTTGTGAGCATAAAGATATGGGATGCCTGTGAGTAACAGCCTGGTGTACAGCAGGTGTTCGCTATTTCTTTCCCTCTGGTGAGTTTCCAGGTTTGTTGCTAACAATCGGCACAGGCCAAGCATTCACAAACGTTTCCTCTAAAGGAACAGATAGTAAATACTCTAGGTTTTGTGGGCTGGGAGGCAAAATTAAGGACGTTACATTCTCACATAATAAAGAGTAAACACATTTCCACCAATTATGACTGATTTAGGAATATAATAATAAAAATAGAGCACTTTTTTTTTTCTAACATAGATCTACTAATGAAAAGAAAGGAACCCTTTTCTGGGCAGATAGCATTTTACTTAACTGAGGTTCAAAGTTAAGAGTTCCCTCTCATCCAGGGGAACTTGCCAGTGTTCATCTGTACAAACCATTCTTAATTTGCAGACCATGCAAGAGCAGGCTGTGAGCTGAATTTTGTCCACAGGACACAGTTTGGAAATCTCTGCTATGGACTGCTTATTAATAACACCAGTCTCTGCTTGTATTCTAACTGTAATCACTAATGGTGAATAAATAATCTGAACTCATAATCGATGAATGAACTGTTAGAGAGCTACCATCTGCAGAGGGGGACGAAATAATTAAATAAGCAGGCACTTGGAAGCTGACAGAATGCTTAGTCTTGGTCTTATTTGATCAAATAATTTCTTTTTTTTTGAGACAGGGCCTCTCTCTGTTGCCCAGGCTGGAGTGCAATGGCATGATCTGGACTCACTGCACCCTCCGCCTCCTGGGTTCAAGCGATTCTCCTGCCTCAGCCTCCTGAGTAGCTGGGATTACAGGCACGCGCCACCATGCCCAGCTAATTTTTGTATTTTTAGTAGAGACCAGGTTCACCATATTGGTCAGGCTGGTCTCGAACTCCCCACCTCAGATGATCTGCCTGCCTCGGCCTCCCAAAGTGCTGGGATTACAGGGGTGAGCCACCGTGCCCGGCCGTGGTCAGATAATTCTTCAGAGAATATATTTCTTTGTGGCTAAAATCTGGAAAACAGCAGAAGAAATGATCGGGCCATGCAAACTAACCATCTAGGATGAGAGACCAAGCAGTGAATGATTATGAAAAGTTACTCAAACAGGTTCTTTCTGCGTTGAATCAAGTAAGAAAAGGACTTGCTTGTCTTCAGTGATGATGCAGCTAAAGGAGGGATGAAGATCTGGCATGTATGTATCAGACGGTCCCTTCCTTCCACCCTTCCACCCACCTGTGTGGACAGGTCAGATTGATCTAGCTATATGACCCTTAAACACTCAGATGGAAACAAGACCAAAAGAGTATTGTGGGGTATATCCTCACCCAAAGGGTTACATTTTAGCAGAATGCTAATATAGAGTGGGAATTATCCTAGGGCATAGAAGGCACCAGAGTGGGTGTTAAGGGGAAGCAATGTGACAAGACATCTTTGATAACTGAGTTGGCAAGAGAGGAATGTTCATATTTCTGAATATTTAAGAGATAGATATGGAAAAGGGTCAAAATATGTAGAGTAAGGAGGGACTAAGGTATGTGAGAAAAGATCCAAGCAGGCAAGCTGGCTCTTTCCCATTCGTGTGGCAGAAAGCGGGGCCCTGTGGCCACCCATCATTTGAAATTCACTGAAAGCCTGTGGACGTTTGCAGAAGCTGCCAAGCCAATGGTGCTGAAGCTGCTTAGGGCAAAGGTTTTAAAGTTTAAGAGTGTTGAACTGGGAAGGTTCTTACAACTCCTTGTAACTAACCCCTCCTTGGAAAAATAGCTGTTTTGAGGCAGAAATATTTTAAAATGCATTGTTTTAGCTGAAGGGCAATTTTTAGCCAAAGAACATTTAGCACAGGAGCTTTGGTGGTGGGTGTTGTGGGAAGTCAGGGACCCCGAACGGAGGGACCAGCTGAAGTCGTGGCAGAAGAACATACATTGTGAAGATTTCATGAACATTCATTAGTTCCCCAAATTAATGCTTTTATAATTTCTTACGCCTGTCTTTACTGCAATCTCTGAACATAAATTGTGAAGATTTCATGGACACTTATCACTTCCCCAATCAATGCCCTTGTGATTTCCTATGCCTGTCTTTACTATCTCTTAATCCCATCATCTTCATAAGCGGAGGAGGATGTATGTCACCTCAGGACCCTGTGATGATTGTGTTAACTGCACAAATTGGGTGTAGAGCATGTGTGTTTGAACAATATGAAATCTGGGCGCCTTGAATACAGAACAGGATAACAGCAATGTTCAGGGAACAAGGGAGATAACCTTAAACTCTGACTGCCAGTGAGCCGGGTGGAACAGAGCCATATTTCTCTTCTTTCAAAAGCAAATAGGAGAAATATTGCTGAATTCTTTTTCTCAGCCAAGAACATCCCTGAGAAAGAGAAGGGCCCCAAGGGTAGGCCTCTGAAATGGCTGCTTTGGGGGTGGCTGTCTTTTACGGTCGAAGACGAAGGGATGAAATAAGCCCCGGTCTCCTGTAGCGCTCCCAGGCTTATTAGGATGAGGAAATTCCCGCCTAATAAATTTTGGTCAGACAGGTTGTCTGCTCTCAAACTCTGTCTCCTGATAAGATGTTATCAACGACAATGCCTGAAACTTCATTAGCAATTTTAATTTCGTCCCGTCCTGTGGTCCTGTGATCTCGCCCTGTCTCCATTTGCTTTGTGATATTTTATTACCTTGTGAAGCATGTGATCTCTGTGACCTATACCCTATTCATACACTCCCTCCCCTTTTGAAAATCGCTAATAAAAACTTGCTGGTTTTATGGCTCAGGGGCATCACGAACCTGCCGACATCTGATGTCTCCCACCAGACACCCAGCTTTAAAATTTCTCTCTTTTGTACTCTTTCTCTCTATTTCTCAGACCAGCCGATGCTTAGGGAAATAGAAAAGAACCCATGTTGAATATCGAGGTTGGGATTTCCCCCAATAGGTGGGTTTAAAAATATTTCTTCTCTGAGCTGATACTGACACATCTTTTCTCCATTTTTGTGTTAAAAGAACACACAACAAAATGCATTTTCTCTTTAGTTTAACAAGTTGGAATAAAATACATGATTTATATAAAGATAAATGTCAAGAAGAAAAACCGAAGTATACTTCCAAGCAAAATTTATTAGATGTCTATTCAAGAAAAACACAATGACCTTTGCTTGTAAGAATTCAAAGTCAATTACCTGGAAGCCAGGTATGAATCTTTTTTTTTCTTTTAAAATCAGATACAGAGAGTAGAAACAGTAATTTTTCTTAAATATGACAGGCAACAGATATTGAAGTCTTTTCTCATAAATGGCATCAAAGAGAATTATTCATTTATCAGCAAAGCTGCATGCAGTTGACTTAATTTCAAACCTGAAGCCTTTAAAATACGAAGCTGGTTGTGAACTTGACAGAAATCAAGGTAGCCTACTCAAAGATGTTGCTTTACCTTCGTCCTAATGAAATTCCCTTGTCATCAGTCAGTAGATATGTACATTTCAGTTTGGCTTCTACGATCTTTTAACTTCATAGATTTTTGCATAAATGCTATCTGACAGAATCACATTATCTAGGGGTGCTTGTGATCTGTGAGATAGGGAGAGGCTAGTCTGCTGAAAGTGTTGTCGCAGGATAAAGACCAAATTAGGAAACTCCCCTGTTTTCTCAACAACTAAACTAAATATTCTGTACAAAAAAAGAGCAAACATATGTACAAAATTCTAAAGACTACGTACATTGTGAAAAGATCAATCACTGTCCACGAAAGAAATGCCATAAAAAGTTTTATCTATAAGGTGCTCAAGATCCAAAGATGAATAGTTCTTATGCAAAGTCATAAGAAATACAAAGCTAGTTCTTGGCGTATGTGTAATTCAGGCACTGTGAACTATATTAAACCTTCCAGGTCCCAATATCATTTTGTAAATTTCTGCTTCAGGGCAGAAAATAAAACCTGAATGATTTAACATTGTTTCTAAAAAGTGCCTAATTTATTCCTAGGAAATATTTTACACACACCAGGAAAATCAGGCTCAACATATTCCTGTCCTCAAATGTAGCCAGGATTCTGAGTTCCATAGAAGAAAAATAATTATTATAGTAAAAATAATTGTATTAATCATAATCCTTGCTAAAACCAACTTTAATACTTGTGATGCTTCTGTACTCTATTTCTATAAAATAATGTGTGAGATTCTATTACATTTCCATAAAATGTACAACATCGCATATGGATTATATGTTCTCATACAATCTCAAATGTGTATGTGTACACACAGTGAAATCTTACCTACTAGTATTGCTTACAGATACTTTCAAGTGTCTATGTTAGAATAATTCTTTGCACCTCTCACTAACACTGCTTTTACTTACATTTTTTTTCAGATAAATAAAACACTAAGAGCTCATTGTTCATGATGCTGATCATTACATTTTAATATAAAATAGCGATGCAACTTTACAACACAATAGTTTTGCCCTGTAGTCTAGCTCAGCCTCTTGTACTGTCATGATTATTACTGAAGGCTCTTATTCATTTACTGTTTGCACTTCTAAAAAGTGCAAAAAATTTGCAGAAAAAGACTCCTATTTGAAAACTTACATTCAATCAACAAAATCACACTCATCCAAATTAACTTTCCTCCTCTTGCTTTAAAGGTGGTAATCACTGTGCATATTACAACATGTATGTGCAGGCAAACACTAGCTAAAGTACAGTTACAGTTGTCATATTGTGTAAACCAAGACACTAGGCAAACTTGTGAAAAGAATATACACTGCCAAGCTAAGAAGGTGAAAACGCAAACCACAGCATTTCCCAATAAACAATTTTCTGGTCGTCTTTGGGGAGAACATCGCCTGGGGGGAGGTGTTGAAATAGCCCCCCCTGGAGACACTTTTTTTTTTTTTGCCTCAAATATTTGACCATTTTTAAGTATCATGATTTTCTTTCTGATCCCACATTTTGACGTGTCAAAGCTTAGAGCAGGAAGTAGGAATCCACACTTTCACGGAGGGGGCCAGCCTGCCATGTCGCCCCCAGGCTCACAGCAGCGGCGGTTACTCTGCTGGTGGTTTGGTGGCAGGTGGAGATGGTGACGGTGCATTGGAAACCGTAAGGCATGATGACGGGAGGCCTGCAGGGTGTTTCAGGCGTTGATGCAGGTGCGTGGCTGGCAGGTGGCCTACAGAAGGAGGGAGAGCGATTCACAGTCTCTTGACGTAGTTTCCGGGGAAAGTACCAAAGAATTTGGTTCTTCTTGAGGTCCCTGAAAACAGAAGTGAGTAATGAAAGGGGGGTAACAACAATATCAGTTCATACACATGGGCTTGAATACTTCGCATTTACAAGGCCTCGCGAAGACAGCAAGCCCCAAGGGGTTTGGAAAAGAAGGTAGGCAACTCATGTGAAGCCCATAGGCAGACAAAATTAGCAGTTTTAGTTGGTTGCCTGACGCTGTCACTGCCCCTCCAGCATAAATGATGCGCTGCGATCATGGCACCCTAGGCAGAAATGCTGAGCCTCCCAATCTGAACGGAAAGAGCCTTGCTGAGGAGGTGGGCGGAGGAGCTCAGTCACCAAGGCTGCCACACCAGAGCGGGGAGTGACGGATCAAGGTGAGGCTGACAGGTGACAGGGTGAGTGGAAAATCCTAAGAGCAAAGCTTCTCAGTGACCAGCAGCCCACGCAGCACAGGTGCGACATGAAGGCATCATCTACTGCAGGCTGTCACTGTCCAGTTTTATCATCTCATAGAAGATCATGCTCAGTGCCACATCCTTTATTTAAAAACAGCACTGCAAGACTCCAGAGGAGAGGAAGAAGAGGGGAGGGTGGAGGAGAGAGAAAGGGGGGTGGAGGGGGAGGAGGAGGGAGGAGGAGGAGGAGGAGGGAGGAGGAGGAGGAAGGTAGTAGAAACAAAATGGCTTGCCTAGACAAGGAAAAGAAAAACAGTCCTCAAACCAAGGCAGTATGCACCAGGATTAGAAGAGATGAAGCTTTAGAGACCCTTATCGGCTCCATCTGCGCTGCCTAAAGAAGAATTTAGCACACCAATTTTTACAAGAGTTTCCAAACCAGAAACCAGAGGTGACCATAATGATGATAGCCGATTTGTGAGTGTAGTTAAACACACCATGTTAGAAATCATGCCGGC